TATTATATTTAAGCATTCTATTTCACTTTATACGATATATGATACAGCTCCCTCCTAAGTGCAAACTATATTTATAGGTCTTTCGTCTTGTTCCTCTCTATACACTACATGTTTCGGCCCCAAACGGCCATCACCAGGTGTATACACTCACGTATCTGTTACACTGCACTTATTTATAACATTTAAAATTTGAAAACATAGGTCTTCCTGATTAGCACTTATAAAATCTTCGGCTCTAATTTGAAATCCTTTAAAAATTTGTTCTCTAATTTTTTTTTTTAATGTCAGAGTTACTCGCCCTATGTCTATAGTGCTGCAGCGGCTTCTTCTTGTTTCTAGTATTGTATAGGTGTTATTTTGTGTAGTCTCCTTGTGTGCGTGCCGCTGCTTATCTTTACTACGTGTATAGAGAGGAACAAAACGAAAGACCTATAAATATAGTTTGCACTTAAGACGGAGTTATATCATATACAATATAATATTCCAGAAGACATAACTCTTCGTGACTACCGCTGTAAGAACCTTAGCAATGTTAACTGATGGGTGTTAGGTTATTGATGAAGCCGTATCAAACTGTGAGGTCATCTAGCGTGGCACTAGGGACGCATAGGATATGAAGATGAAAATGTAATGACTTTGAGGAGCGAAGAAGAAGGCTACCGTGGTCTATAATAGCATTAACCTTGGGGACCTAAAGACAACTTGGTAAACATATCTGTTTCCCGGCCAAAATTTAATTCGAATACTGCCGAATGTACCGTTTATTGTTTGCATCCTCTTGTGGGGGGGGGACGCTCTCTCGCATGGAGCTAAGCCCTTCTTGAGAATCCGCCAACTGTGCAGCTGCTAAAGGATTTCCCAGCATTTTATGAAACCCGAAGGCTCATTACCGTGTTCAAAATAGCCCTCCACTGGTCCCTATCCTAAGCCAGATCAATCCAATCCATGCCATCCCATCCTATCTCTCTAAGATCCATTTTAATATTGTCCAGCCACCTACGCCTTCACACACACAAAATGAAATTAAGCACCTAAACTCTACATTTATAAATACAAAATCTCCTGTGAGGGATACACAAGTAAATACCAAGTTAAGCATTTACACGACAATTAGTAATAAAATCCACAAGACAGAAGTTAGAAGTGGGACTCCCACACGGCGCATCGGTCCATGTTTCTACTAACAACCCCGAGCTCGACGTCCACATTAAAAAAATTTTTAGTCTTGGCTCACTTTCAAGACTATTTTTAGAAATAACTTAATTCGACGAGTTATTTAACTTAAAGATGTATTAAAATTTGTTAATTAATTCTGAACCAATTTCAAGGCACATTACATTGCTAAATTTAATATTACTAAATATTAATATTCCTAAAAGGTTTTACTTATTTCTAATTTGAAATAACANTATTCCCAACGCGACTTAGACGTATCTCACCACTAAGATAATGAAAGTGGCTCTTATTACAGGAACCAGGGGGCATCCCCAGTGCGCCGCAGCTCCTCGTTAGAATTAAGAGAACAGAAACTTTTTTATATATTGCGTGTCATATAGCAGCTTCAGTAGCGCCTACCAGCACTTGTTCTTAACAAGCCATTACGGGGGTTGCAAGGCGCCCTATGTCTCATGTCTCTCTCTCTCTCTCTCTCTCAAGTTTTACGGTCTCGGGGGCGACTGACTGACTCGGTAAGTCTCCGGCCACGAGATGAGTTCCTTTGAGAATCAGAGCGGACTTCAACAACTTTGTAATAACTTCTCTGCTAGAGTGAAGAAAGTTGATGAACACTGTAATGAGCTGCCTGGGCAAAACGTCAACATGGAATGATAAAAGTAAAAAGAGACTTGATTTGGTGGTCAAGAACTTTCTTAGTTTCGTATTTGCCAGCAAAACTTTGGAATTAAACTTAACTACTTTGCTACCCACATGACGTCATGTATTCTTATAACTCGGCTGTAAGACAGTGTCCCGTAATTATATTACATTGCAGCGGGAAGAACTTTATATTATCAAACTCTCGGTGTGGTTTTGTAAAACACTGGGTTCGCGCAGATGTGCATTAGAAGACGGGATGCTATTTTGAATAGTTTTCGGAATTTCAAATTTAGCAGTTTACATAAGACATGGAAAAAACAAACTACGTGTATTATTAAACACCGCGGCATATGATGTTATGATGCAGCATTCGTGAGCTCAAATTGTAACCGTCCCCTTTCTATCTTTGTACTTATTTGCCGGCTTCGGTAGACCACTCGACTCTTCTCAGGATCGTGTCACGGTAATAACTGAGGCAATAAAGAAACTGCACATTTAAAGCTAGTCCACTGATAGAAATCAAAGACACTATTTCTGCTCTCCACAAATTGTTTATTTCAGAAGCAAACACTATAACTTTATTGGCAAGTATGGAGTAATGTGCCCTTTTTATTATTATCAAAAATTAATCGAACCAATTAAAGACTGATAAATTTAGATAGAGTACAGCCCAATGACGTCTGCCTCTGATGAATCAAAACGCCAAGTCCTTCTGCCAACTCTATCCTGCGGGAGCGTCGCTTCATCCCCTGTATAGGATTTGAATCGACGGCCTTTCTCCCAGACAAGAATAGGTTCCTATTGGTTGATTTTAACAGGCCAAATCCATCATACAATCAGCACTAGACAATCACATAACGAACTTTGAGAATAAAGAGATCCAAAGATACTGAACCCGGAACCCCACATGTGAAAGCGGTTAGTTCTTAGTTATGGTCCAATTACACCATTCCGAAGACACCTTTATGACAACTACACTTATCAGCAAAACAAAATTTAGATCTTCGGCAAACTGCAGAATTTCCTCTCGTGGTGACCTTGTCCCTTTTCCGGTCACCCAAACTGCAGGTAACAAAACAAGGCAGTTGTTTCTGTCCAGATGCGAAAAGCAAGTCATTACATGCTAATGGTTCGGTCTCCCCAATAAATCACTCTACTGCAATGGCTAAAGAGGGCAATAGCGTCCACTGAAGAGTTGTAAAAGGTTTGGACTGTCACAAAATGCTTAGCAAATTTAACGATATCGGACGCGATGGCCGTAGTTCAGTTACAGCTTCTCAAGAATAACTGTAATGAAAATCACAACTCTCAACTTTCGCTGTCTTTGTCTCACAGATGTTATTTGCTGTTTTCTCTGTATATTTTTACTCCAAGAACGTGGGAATTGAAACAGAATACTGTCGTCGACAAATTTGGGTGAGATGAATTTGAATTATTTAGGATCCAGACATTCGTTACAACAGGAACACTTGTTCCTCTTCCGCCGCGCAATGTTCTGCGCATCGCCCCTTTCACGCTCATGAATAAGACATGGCTACACTTGTTCAGTTTCGTCAAATAGTTTACACGGTGGATTTTATGGCCCAGCTACGTCATTTTGCTCAGTGACTCTCGCTATTGTAATCCAGTTCCTTTAGTTTGTAGTAACATGAACCATCTTTCTCAAGGAATTAATATCTCTGGCAGGAGTAACTGATATTGTTTGTAATCTGAAACTTTTAAAAAAATCTATCGAGTTATTATATGTTCGCGTCGCAAGATTAGAGAAACGATGAAAGATAGGTTTTGATGAAGCTTCAAACCGAAGTTGAAAATGCACTTCGGAGAGCATCGCGTCTTAGTCACTGCAACACGTGACATTATGTTTATGATTGGATACATCTGCTTTATGCTGGATTCAATAATTACACTCGTCTTACTTGTCTGTGGCAGATGAAATACTTTGTGTGACTGATGATTAAGAATGTTTCACACAATCACACAGGTATTGATGCACGAGTCGGAAATCTTGAAACTGGAGGATAATATTAGGGTCCATAAAAATTAGTCTTACGGATGTGGATGTCACTCAGGATCGGAAGACGTGACCAGAGAACACGGTTATTATCATGAGGTTTCGATAGAGAGAACCATAGTTCCTATTTAGGTGAGCGAATATAAGACTTGTACGAAATCGAGAGGGCTTGCTTACCGGTAGTGCTCGTTTTGGAGAGGTCCTCGGTTGGAATCTCGGCCGCAACATGATTGACGTTCTTCGTGGTTTTCCCCGGCACCTGCAGACAAATGCCAAACTAGTACCATAATTTAGTTACTATAGGATTCTGACGATAGTGTATAACATACTGATATATTGGGTTTCTGGACTTTATCCATCGTCCTAGTTTTAAAGATAACAAATAAAAACACGACGTTTCGGAAACTGGATCTGTTTCCGTCCTCAGGTGAAGGAAAAGGGGAACACCTATTCTGTTGGGTCCGTTAGAAAGAGCTAGCCTCAATCACTGGACAAACCAGCTCTCTAGCTCTCATGGACTTAGCCTGGTCTCAGGTGTTTATAATCTTCATGTTTTGTGACATTGGTTTGTCCAGTGATTGAGGCTAGCTCTTTCTAACGGACCCAACAGAATAGGTGTTCCCCTTTTCCTTCACCTGAGGACGGAAACAGATCCAGTTTCCGAAACGTCGTGTTTTTATTTGTTATCTTAAAAACTAGGACGATGGATAAAGTCCAGAAACCCAATATATCAGTTAGTACCATAATTTGTTCACGATCGTTTCCTTCCAAATCATTTATAATCTATCATTCATCACCTACAATTAGATGCCAAGTAAATCTGATACCGAAAGCGTAGTAGATGAGCAAAAACACTATGATCTTGTGCACAAAAACGCATGCGCTAGTGCGTATTTTGTGTTTTAAGGTGAGACAATCGCATAAGCTATATAGAATATGAACCGAGAATATGTTTGAAGAAGCATTTTCATACTGTCTAAAATTTTGTGACACTGTACATTTGCACCAATTTGTTTCCGGACATATATGTGTGGTGCTGAACACCACATTTGGCTGAGGCCCTTCCAATTGGGGTAACAGACACAACTGTAGCAAGTCCAGGTAGGTCATCGCTGTCACTGTTTGTTCTGCGAAGACAAAGGACTTCATTATGCGCAAATTATGCCAGTCAGACTTTTGACACGTATAAGCTAAGCTAAGATGAGGCTACAACAAAATGCGAGTGTACAGTGAGTGTTATGAAGAAAAGGCTCCAAAATTGATTTCTAAAGCAATATGCTAACAGGGGGGGGGGAGTAATGGCTGATAGTGAAGCAACTGGCCTTGGATGGAAAGATCGTGGTTCAAATTCCGGAACTGCTGTTGGAATGGTTTCTTCGCCTTGATTTTCACACCAGATTCGGATCAAGCAGACCCGCATTTTGTTCTTTGTGGTGTGTTCTTTCCTGGATTATAAATAGCGGGAAGTTTAGTCTAGTTCCGAAGTCGAGACTGTTTGCAAATTAAACCACAGAAGAATCATTGTGGTCTCCTGACATAGCACTTATTCACTCGACTTAGATCATTACATGCGGCCGCGCCATAGCTCATGCGGTTAGTCGCTGGCTTCCCACTGTGGCGGCCCGGGTTCGATCCCGGGTCTGGTCAAGAGGGATTTGTGGTGTAAAAAGTGGCGCTGGAGTGGGTTTTCTCCGAGTACTTCGGTTTCCCTTGCCAATCTTCACTCCACCGAATTCTCCGTCATCATAATCACCCGGGGCAGACTACAATAGACCAATCAGTGGCCGCCGTGCCGAGTGAACCCAGTTGGACTCCTCCCCCCACTAAGCGAATTAGGTCATTACGTATCCTACACAAGGATAAATGAGTATAACGATAATAGCATGAATGTTATAGTTCAACACCAAGGCACACATTCCTTCCTCTCCATTCCTGAAAGAAGTGTTCTGTAATTTTCTGTCGAATTGAGCCCTTTCTGAGTGGTTTTGTTACTACAACGGCTAAAAGGAATATGTGTACGGTTTGTAGGCTTGAAGATCACGCAACCGGAATTTTACATTATCCACACAGAGTGACTCGGTGTATGATAGAGTTTGCTGATGACAGCCGATTGACGTGCATGCGACATAACGCCAGTCAGCAAAAGAATATTTTGACTTCATGTGCAGCGAATCACTATTGGTTTAAGTCACATAGTCATACGTAGCTGCCACCAGGCAAAGTCCAACTGTGTTTGTGTTGTCCTGTGCTTAGGTAGCGGCCTTGCGACGAGCTGATCACTCGTCCAAGGAGTCTTGCCGTCTGTAAAATGAACAGGAAACTGCAAAATCAGAGGTCAGGGCCTAAGGTTGCTGTAGAACCAGTGAGAAGAAATCAGCAACTTGAGGTTTCAGGTATGAGTTACAGTTATCTATATTTTTTTACAACAGCCAAGTATATTTACTGCCGGACGTAATGGAATATTGGTTTTCCTGCGTCATGTTGGCTTGGGGAACACTTGCCGGACGGATTCCGATGGCTGGAATGAGATATATTGTGATGCTGTGCTTACAGATATTGCTTCACCGAGAGCTATGAAAAGTCTAACACTTGCTCTGGGACAAATTCATATGGTTTGTAATTCCCAGCCATTAATGTCTAGGGAACACAAACATATCATATAAAACATGTCCTCCGTCCCTGTCCACACCACGAGGCGGAAGGAACTTCAATCTTTAGCGTCAACACCACTTTGATTCGAAGAAACGAGACGATCCAAGCTTCCTTCGGCTATGGACTTGCTCTATTTAGAACACGTTCAATTTTTTTTTTTTTACGAATACCCTGTTGCTAATTACGTACAGAAATTCTTTAATGTATTTTACACCGTTTTAAGAGCTTCCGTTTTGATAGTATCTCTAGAGAATATTCCCTTCAAAATGCAATAAAATAGGAAGACAATGTTAAGTGTTCATGGGTGTTTCCCTTCCCATAAAATATTTTGTAATGCGGATATTTAAGAGAGCTAACTTCTTCCGTTTAATTTACACCGACGGTGGTTTGCTCTGAGTTGTGCAACTCCAGAAAATTCCATAGCTTTCGTGTTCTTTGTGAAGAAGTTTGGACTATGTGTCCTTGCATTCTGGCTCAGTTTGTATACAGTTCCTTGTAATGTCTTCAGAAATAACAATGGTTTTCTAAATGTAGGAAAATACAATAAAGTAAGGTAAATAAAGCTATCGCTGTAACAGGCCGTGGAGGCCCATAGGGTTGAGACGTTGAAGCTCCCATATTTTCTAGACAATCGGCTCATAGATGGCGGTAAAGTTATCAGCTTTACGCGCAGGCCGCCCTTTACCCTCTGGAATATTCCTCGTACTCATTTCTGTTTCAGACTGAGCAGACCCCAGGGCCATAGTGCGGCTGTAAGGATTAGGTCAATTGAAACAAAAATCCACCTCATCGGGATTCGATCCCGCGACCTTCCGGCTTGTAGCATAGTGCCTCAACCAACTACGCGACCGCGTGCAGAGCTACAGATAACGCTTACTGTGAATTGTTTCGCAAATTTGACCCAGTGATTAACTAATTAAGCAGTATGCTATGAAATCGTGAGGGGGAGTGGATGTGTAGATCCAAGTATTCTTGACATCGGTTCTGGTTGGAGGTGATTCTAAACTTCACGCCCCAGCAGCTTTACCCCGGGGAAAGAGCCCCCGGAACCCACTGGATATGAGGTTTGGTGGACCCCAGAATCAGTCTGAAGGACTTAGAGAAGAAATATTCTTGCCCCTACCGGTACTCGAAACCGACACTTCGGCCATCCAGGTCGTAACCAGTCGCTATACCGACTGAACTAGCATTGCTTCATAACTGCAACTGGAAATTTTGTTGGGTGCGTGCGTGAA